GGATTTGGAGGTACTTTCAAAGATCTGGAATTTGATAATGAAAAAGAAAATTTTCCAGATCATATGTTAATGTCCATGATGCAGTTCAAGATCCTTATAAGAAGTTGAATTCATTTATTCAATCTTAAGCAGATATCGGGGGAAGCCATTTTGTGTCAAGAATGGAAATTGATGGTATGATTAAAGCTTCCAAAGCTCGGGTGTTTACCAAAATTTCTGAATTCATTCAAGCATTTGAGTCTTGCATTAAGGAGAAGGTGGGATTAGAATGATCAAAATAATGAATTGTGTGTTAAGTCTCAATCTTCGAACTTTGAGGGATAAGTGAAAGACTTGAAAAGAGTGGGCAAAGAACGACATACATTATTCTCTCAATCAACAAGTTGACATTATTGATGCTGTTGTTACTAAATTCGTGAAGTTATATGAAGCACTAAGTCCTCAACTTACTCAGTTGTCTACTCAAGAATCGAAGAGTTTAACTGAGATCACTACTAAGTTGAGTGAGTTGAAGTCTTTAATCATGAAATCAAGTTCCTCTTCGTTGATCACTCTAGAATTTTTATCTCAAAAGTTCATATAGTTTGAAGCCATTCTTCATAAACAATTGGCCCCATTATCCAAAATTTTGAGTCTTTTACCAATGGATGCCCCGCCTGTTGTCACAGGGGTGCAAGGGGGAGAAAGGAAGGTTGGTAGAGGTGATGGAGTTTCGCATGAAGAAATCAAGACTGTTGGAAAAGTTTTCTCAACAAAAGTTCCGACAACTAAGCCAATTGTTTCTTCTGCTGGGCCAGTTACTTCAACAGTTGTAACTTCAATGCCAGTTATAAAGCCAATTTCTAAAGGAATTGTAATTGATTCTTCTGGTGGTGGTAGTAGTAGTTCAAAGCCAAAGGAAGCTGTTGATAGTTCTTCCGACAAAGACAAAGGGAAAATGATTGTTGTAGAAAAATCGAAGGAAGAAAGGAAGGCAGAGATTGAAGCAGAAATGGAGAAACAAAGGGCAATACAAAGCATATTGAGCCTTCGTGTAAATGATCCTCCTGGAATGAATAAGGGAGATCCAAGCAAGCATTACAACTAAGAGACCATTGAAGCAAAAGTTGCCTGCAATCACATGTATTCTTTTGAGAAAAAGCCCAAACAAAGCTATGTAGTCACAAATACAGACATGAGCCAACTTGATTTCCCTATGAACGAAATGATGTTCATAATGGTTAAGTGCAAGATAAAGGAAAAGTTCAACAATGATGATGAGTACACTTACATGAAACTCAAATTTCATGTTGTTCTTGGAAAAGTACCAGAGGAGATATGGTCACTTGTAAAGATCAAGAAGGTACTCAGTATTACGAAGGATGTTCTGTTCGAGAATATGATGCATAATTTTCGGTATCATGTTGTTAGGGTGAACAATCAAATTTGTGATTTCTCAATAGCTGATTTTCCTTTAATGAACTTGTATGATCTTATACAAGTTGCATTACTTTTGAAAGACAAGAATTCTTCATATCTTCAAGGAACAGATCCAGAAGTGTTTAGACTTGGTCTTGATCACATCAAAATATTCATAGATAACTACTATGAGTGTTTGGCCCTAACTGATGTGGAGTTGGCAACTGCAAAGGCATTGAAAGTGAAGGTTCCTATGGAAGCCACGAAGACTCAAGTTGAGTTGAAGAAATATTTTGATGGAGAAATTTGCTTGAAGCCGTTTGGATTGGTCTTCGCTAGAAAGGATAAGAATGGGAAGGCAAAAAGATTTATGTTTCAGGCATGCGAAGTGGAAAGATACAATACGTCCCAATATATGAACTTTATTGTTCGTATGAATAACTGCTCAAAGAACAATCAAGGGTATAAGGAGTTAAAGAAGATTTTGTCGTGGTATACTGAGATATGAAGAGTAATGTTGTTTTCTGCACAGATTCTGGCACCTTGAGTAGTTCGATATTATTACAAAGGGGGAGATTGTAGAGTTAAATTTTATTGTAATATGTCGAAATCTGTTTAATTATACTCTTCGTATGTTTTGTTATATATTTACTAAGGTGTCATGTATTCGAAGCTTAACGTCTAAGCCTTAGTATTTTTTGTACTTTCAGTCTCCTATAAATAGGAGTTGAACATTAAGTAGATGGTAAGAGAGTTAGAGTGTCATAAAGTGAGTTCTCTCTTTTACTATCGTTTTGTAACTCGTGTTCATTGGAAGTAATAGAGCTGAAACCATATTTTATTTACTTCTTGTGTTCAATTGTGTTGATTCTACTCTGATTTGATTCTTATACTCGATTATCACTTCATCAATAACCTTTAATCAATGGTCCAAATCATATTTTATCTTACTAAGGGTAAAAGACCATTTTACCCTTCCCATATTTAAATTAACTAATCTTGGCCCAAAATCCATAATGACCTATGGCCCAAATAGGCTTCTGTTAGTACGCTATGTGTACTCCATACTTACGCTCTGCATATTGGGCTTCAACATAAAGCGAAACAGGGTAAAGCCCATTACGCCATGCGTATTCCAGGGTTACGCCCATCGTACTACCCTAAAGACCAAAATGCATATTAAACACTTAATACCTAAAGTCTAAGCGTCCAATTCATATATCTAGCCCTTTGGAAAGTCTTAACTGATAAAGTTGACAACTTTAAGCTTTTGCATGTCTTAATAGAGCCCAAAACCAAACCCTAACTTCTTAACTCCATAAAATGGTCAATAACTCGTGCATGGTTGAACTATTCCCAAAAAGGTTCGATTTTTATGCAATAAGGACCTCTGAAACATCAAGAAATGCTAACCCACGCTCTAGAGTAGCTCCTACTCACAAGAGCCAACACTTGGGAACAAAACATGCCAAAACCCTAAACTATTCTAGAATTATACAAGAGACACATAAAGGTTAGGACTTTATACCTTCTGGAAGATGAGGATGATGAGTAGAGTATAGATCTACAAGCTATGGACTCGAAGCACACCTTCCAAGTTCTCCTTCATCACTATAACACACCAAAAATCACACAAAAACTTGAGATTCTTACAAATGGAGTTAGGGTTTCGTTGGGGCTGAAAGAGAGGGTGGTGATTGATGATAAGAAGGGTTTCTAAGGGTTTAAAGTCCTTAAATAGGGTCCAAGATCCTAAAATTAGGGTTTGCATTCACTATGAGTATGCCCTGTTTACTCTAGGTACGCCATGCGTACTCTAGGGAAACCCGGCGTCCAAGTTAATGAGTTACGCCCTTCATAACCCTTAGTTACGCCCCGCGTAATGGCCATCCATGCAAAAATCGATGTATATAAACTTTAAAGAATTTATCTAGGAATCGGGTGTTACATATTATCTCTTAGTATAATTAGTAGTAAATATTCTATTTAAATCATACATGTTCCCCAACTGTTTGACAGCCCGTTCTTTCCATCACTATACTGTCAAACGAATAGATACACTTGCCTAGTTGTGATTAAGTCCATTTTTATAAGTATTAAAACTAGTATTAAAAATACACTTTAGTATAATATATTTTTGGTATATAAAACTCAAATTGGTTTTGATTTGTGTGACTTCTCATGGAGTTTGTTTGTCATTTGCCATGCTTTTCCTTAATATCAATCTTAAACTCTTAGGTGGTGTTGCGAGAGAATGAAGCATGTAATCTTGAATGATTAAAGGCGAAGCTTTCATAGTTGTATACCATCAACATTCTTATTGTCATCTCTATTTCAATTTTTATTCGGTCATTCAAAGTCTTAAATCCCATGAACTAATCCCTCAAAATCATGTTTTGTTCTTCTTGATCAGTTTTTATAACCAACAATTGGATCCAAATTGGAACAAGCAAAGAAAAAGATCAATAATGGATGATCGGAATGATGATAAGATGGTCTTATCTCTACTACCCAAAATCAAAGAAAACCAAGAACAACCATGTTGTATACTTGCCACGTGTCAACTCTGAACACAAGGGTATATTTGGGAGAAGAGCATAAAGAGTCTACTGCAAAAATAGAAAGAAATGAAGAACAAAATAAAGACTATAAAGTATAGATGAGAATGATACTGGCAAAAAGAGGGAAAGATTGAGAATAAATGAGAATGGAGAACGAAGAGTCTGAAGCAAAAATAGAAAGAAATGATGAAATAAAGTTTTGTAAATTAAAGTTGGATGCTATATTATAGCATTGAACTTTCATTTCTAATTCTTAAATGTTTTAAGTTTAATTTTATATTATTTTTTCTTTTCTTATTTAAGCATCATACTTTGGAAATAAAATACAAGTACGATGCTATTATAGATCACAAAGACCTTTAGTTTGCTATTTAGCGGTTTTGGTCCCAAATATTATTTTCCTTGCAATTTGCTACCCTCCATCTAACTGATTTTTCAATAATGGTCCCCAAATCTAACTGATTTTTTTAAATATTGGTACCAAAAAGTTCTTTTTGCAATGTTGTGAAATGGTAAATATAACCTGATATGCAAAAGAACAATCCACCGATAAAATTTTAAAGAACATATCATGAAGATGAAGATACGTACAAAACCCTAAAACGCACTTTTTATTTCTCTCTACTTCATTAGCTCAGAAAGTACATAAAAAATAATGTAATTTTTTATTTTCCAACTAAATATAACTTCTGATATTTCAGCTACAGTCCTCCTGTTTCCTTTTAACTCTGCTACCCTCATAGTTCAGCAAAATGACACAACTAGTCCTTCCTATCTCTTCCTTCTTCAACTCTTACACTTATCTTCTTATCAGCTACAAATTTATTCCTACATGATAATTAAGTAATTAACCCAAACATTAACAAACCATCAAAAAGTAAGCTGATTGATTTCAAACATCATTCAGCTTCCATTAAAACCCTAATTTTGTATCATTTTTTAAACATAGATAAGAAAAGGATACGTACCAGATAGTAGTCTTTTGAAGAAACTTCATTGCTAAAAGCCTAAAACAACTGAATCCTCTCAAACCAACTTCACTTAATCTGAATGTGGAACCTCTTCATCAAGATTGCTACTTATCTTCTTTTCAATACCAGAGCTCTGTGACCCTGTTGCCCTTGCCAACATCACAAATGTCATCCCTCCAAGAACATTGTTCACCAATCTCAATCCAACCACAGAGGTCTTGAAGAAAACAGTTGGGAGACCTTTTTGCAACAAGAACTCGATTCCATTCAAAGTTTGGTACCTAAGATTACTGCTTACACCCATATGCATTGCCCAAGTTATGGCATTTAAAAACATGGGTGGAGGTTTGTTTGGTGATTCAAAGTTTGGATCCATCTTCTTCCTCATCTTGATCAAGCCATTGGAGAGAGCAGTTCCTGCTAACCCTGCAGCTAATCCAACGGCTGCAAATAGAGTTCCTTTGTAAACTAGGGTTCCTAAACGATTCATGAGAGTATATGAACCAGGCTCAAACATGTGGCTTGTAGGGGAATTGGCGAATATGAAAGGAAGGGAAATTGATGAAGAAGACATAGTGGGTGCTAATAGATACATAAGGGTGAAATTAAGAATTGAACCTACTACAAGTGTGGAAAACACAAAATCGAGTTCATTGAGCCCAAAATTTGGACGGGTTGCCATGTCACCAAGAACAGCTGCACTCACGCCCACCAGTTCTTCCATTAGGATCTTGAATGGAAACTGGGGATCAGCAGCAACTCTTGATCTCCACCCGCTAAGAAAGGCCCCAATTGGTCCAAAACTATCAGATTGAGGTGAATCATCGGATTTTCCATCTCCACCTCCACCTCCACCATGACGGCCATCATTTCCTCCCCCATTGTTGCCATGGTTGCCGCCACCAGCACCACAGAGAAGTGGTTGGAATTCAGGTAGTAAGTTAGGGCTAAAGGACTTTGATTTTAGGGAGGGAAACGTAAAGTTTAGGGAGGATTTGGAAAGGAGTTTTCTATCTGGTAATTGGAAGGTAGAAATGTGATGAAAACGATGGTAGTTTTCAGTAATATGAGGAGAATGGACCTGAGCTACAGAAGCCATATTTTAAAACAAAAAGGTTGAAAAGTGATGGAAAAGCAATTTGAACCTGAAAAAAGAGGTATCAATACGTAAGTTACAGTTTGAAGTTTGTGGCTACATTAAGTATCATATTACAGCATATACAATTGGGAACCTCAATTAAACCCTAACTTCAATAAAGCCAAAATGATATATCCAACAAATCAATTATTTCTCCACCACAACTGAAAATACAAGCGATGAGTGTACTCCTATGAACATTATGAGAATAAGATAAATAAGGATTCAAATCAATGTAAAGCGGAATTGAAAACGTTAAATTGGGATTACCTTTATGAGGTGGATTGGTAAATTGAATTGATGAAAAACCTTGAACGGTGTTGCCGGTTGCCGGAAAGAGATGATTTGGACGATTGCGAAGAAAACAACGGCAGTGAATCGAAGGAGCAAGTGAGTGTGGCTGGAAACTCCGAAAATAGAACTTAATATCTATATAAAACCCTAATGAGAGAATGCGACGAGGAGATGCGAGGAACAGCGATTGCTGAAAGAGACGCAGAGAAATTGAACGATTGAGCACCCAACCACGTTTGGTTCAGAAAATCAGAAGATGGGTGGTTTGTCCGACACGTGGCCGTGGGTATGGCCCACCGTATCTTACCCTCTTTAAAGATATTCTTTCACCCCAAAAAAATATTATTTCCTTTTAAGAAAAAAGAAACACAAAAAGTAACATGTATAGCCGATTACATTGTAATTTTATTTAACTCCTTTACTTTTTCCCATAATATATCGAAGAAGTGATGTGAAATTGTGAACGAAGAAAATTTTTATTGGTTTTTTGTCATTATGTTCATATTAATATTGTTTTCATCAAAATTTAGTTTTTTGATCGCTTTCATAAATTATATGTTAATAATAGATTCTTCGATGATTCGACATTCATTTGCCATAACTATTTAGGGGTGTTTTAACATTATTTTTGTTTCACTTTCAATGATTGTGATCAAAAACTTGAAGTAAGTTGCTCTATAACACCAATTTCTTTTAATCAATTATTTCGACTCACTTACATATTTTAACGATTTTAAGCCACCGACATTCTTTTCTGTATAATTTGTTTTGGCCTTGTTGACCATTTGTTGAATTACGCATGGTCTCACAAAAGTCTTTTCTCCCACTTGCAGCCGACACCATGGTAACCAACATTTCCTCCCATGCAACCAATTGATTTTATTTTTCAATATATGACGAATATGCCATGGTTGCCAAATAATAGAGGTTGAGTGAAAGATTTTGTTATTTTCTTTTCGTTGAATAATGTCATGATGTTTAATAGTTTTTGATGTTCCATGTTTGTGTAATTTTCTTAATTATTTATATGTATTGATGTGTTTGTCTGGAATCATGGTTTGGGTCAAGAAGGCTCACAAAACACGATGGAGTTATACTTGATTGTTTTTTGCTATACACACAAATATGTAAAACAAGGTAGGGATGTCAAAAAGCCTAAACCCTATTAATCTGACTAAATCCGAACCCAAATAAAACAAATAAGGTCGGGTTTAATAGATTCTACAATTGAAATCGCGTTTTATCAGGACGGCCCAAATAACCCAAAACATAAATAAGGTCGAGTTTCCAGTTTATATTATCACATTTAGTCGGGTTCGGGTTAACTTGATTAAGCCTATAATCTAACAAGTCTTTACATATTGTTTATGTTAGTCCTATACAAGTTAGCCTTTACGCTACATGTTGTTTATCTAATAAGAAAATCCTATTCATTTCTCGTTCCATGTTAAATAGTAAATTATAATTAGAAACGACCATATATTGACAAAAACTTTCGGTGTACACAAAGTTGAATCGCCAAAACAAAAGAAAAAATGATCAATTTGCTTTTGCCTAATTCATAGCACGTGTATATGGTTTAAAACACCATAAATTGAGTTTTACTTTATACCTTAAGTCTCTATGCACGAGGGTTGTGCATTAAAATGGAAAAACTTAAATTCATCTTATATTTTAACCTGACTAACCTAAAACCCGATTAATCCGAACCTGACTAATCTAAACCTTAATAGGGTTGGTTTTCAGATAATTCTTTACAAAAAAACCCGACTAACCCAATTCGTTTAACCAAAAAACTCTATCCAGTTGACTCGATTAACTGCCCCAAGCAAAAACTACTTGATTAACATGGAGCACTAAGACAATAACAAGGGTTAACATTAGCAAAAGCTTCATGTTGAAAATAATAAGTGAAAGGAACTTTATTAAATAATAAAAGTACAAAAATATTTCTAATGTTAACAAAAAAAAATGGGAGTAAATTGTTCATTTTACAAATTTTTAACATTATATTTCTAACATATTAGTGATAAGGACCAAACATGTAACAAAATAAAAATGTTAGGACTGAAAACATAACAACATGCACATTTGACCTAAAATTGCAACTTTGCATAAAATATATGGACCAATTGTGTAATTTACCCTACGCTACCCTACAATATAGTATTAAAGGATAAATTTCGGTTGGTACGAGTAAACCGAGGAAGGGAATTGCAAATTAGCATCTTTCTCCTGCCAAATTTCTAGTCTCCTCTATTTTAAACAAGTTGCTACTATTAGAATACGCGCTTCGTCTGAATTCTGATTAGGGTTTTATCAACTTACTCCGATCATCGCCGGACAACCTCAATTCTCAGGTTATCTATTTCCATCCATCCGATTACATCTATTTGGGCTTCACGTCTTTTTGTAATCGAATCGTTTTCTTAACTTTGTATCATTTTAATATCTTAGCTAGGAAACTCTATGCCATAATTGTAACTAGGAAATGCAGATTTACTAGCTATTACCTGTTCAAGTTCATGCTCTTCTAGGGTTTTGGTTGGTGAGAAGCTGTATTCCATTAGGATCTAGTCTTTGATTTACACCTTTCTTTAAAGCTCTAATTCTCTTTGAGATTTTCAATTTAGAGTTACGATCTCAATGAATTCACCCTCATTATCCTCCATTTTTGTCAGTATATGTAATTCCAGTTTTCCTGCCTATGAGTTACTTTGTTCCGATGAATTTTGTTTATATTGATATACTGTTACTGCTCTATGTAAGAATTATTTACCTTTCAAGCTAAATTTTTGATTTTTTTTCAGAGTACATCGACTATATCCACAATTCTAAACATCAGAATGGGGATATGCTTCTCTTCGGTGAGTTTCCTTTGGTCATTTCCAACTAACTTAATAAAGAATCAAAGCACTTCACGTGTTTTTCAACAAAAAGGATATATTCATGTGCCATGAATTATGATGCCCTGCTTTTACCTAACTCTATGATATCTCTGGATCACGATAGATGATATGGTATGTTATATATTGTTAACCTGAATCTGCTGCTTTGAGTTGTGATAGAAAAGGTTAGATGTGGGGTATGTTCATGAATATAGATAAAGTGACATCTGAAAGATAGAAATCCAGACTGTTTGCTAATGAAAAGGAATAAAGTGTAATATGATAATCCCACCAACCAACATAATTCTCTATATTTGAATGATAGCCAACCTGTCCATGATGCCCATTCACTCATTCATTCAATTGCATGTGCCCCACTTTATATGTAGAATTCCCTAACAATTTGAAATTACCAATACTACCCTCCACTATAGGCCTAATTTCCTAAATCCTGCTACATGATCCGGTTTAAATGTGATGTTTAAGGTTTGTTTGTAATAAAAAGAAAAGCAATGAACAAAAGAAACATGAAATGTACAATTGAGGAATAAAAGACTTCAAATTAGTGCATGTCTAAAATACCTGAGAATGAGGCTGAGTTGCAATATAATACCCATGTGTGACTCTGAATACCTTGATTGAGAGATCAAAATGGAAAGAAACAGGTGGCTACCATGTTGGTATTTATTACATTTTAACCCTTTTAATTCAATTTATATTTTCAGACACATAATGATGGAGATGAGTCCGATCATAATGCCGAATTTGCTGGAGGTAACGTGACCCTTGTCTCTTCCAAGGATGCTTGGGATCAAAAGCTCTCAGAAGCAAAGAAGGATCACAAAATAGTAATTTCTTCTTCATATATAAATTGGCATTATCAACTACATTTCATCGACTAGACTAAACAAACATTATAGGATTATCTTCAATTATAATGATTAGAAGGGCATTCACGTCTTTTTCTTACACAAGTGATCAAGAGCAAGTCCCAGTCTCAGTCTCAGTCTCAGTCCCACCTTTTCTTGTGTAGGACGATAATTTACACTTTTTGCCCCATTGACATCAACCGCAGTCCCAAAAAGCTGCAATTTTTGTCTCATTGACATCAGTCTTAGTCCCACTTTTTTGGGTGAGACAAAAAGTTGCAGCTTTTGTCTCCAGTCTCTCTGACACAGTATAACCTGTTCTGTGTTGTCTTGTAGGTGATTGCCAACTTTAGCGCGTCTTGGTGTGGGCCATGTAGAATGATTGCACCATACTACATTGAGTTATCTGAGAAACACCCGTCTCTTATGTTTTTATCTGTAGATGTTGATGAATTAACCGTAAGTTATACTCCCCCTTCCCAATTTTATTCATTTTTCGATCTTATAAAAAATAATTAAGTTGCATTTTGTATCGAAATAGTAAATGGTATGTTGATGCAGGATTTTAGCACACAATGGGACATAAAAGCTACTCCAACATTTTTCTTCCTTAGAAATGGAGAGCAATTCGATAAACTTGTGGGAGCAAATAAGCCGGAGCTCTTGAAGAAGATAAATGCCATTGTGGATTCAGAGCCTCCTCATCGTGCTGTGTAACTACTTGATGGTTTTATGTTGTTGATTCTTTTAAAGTCAGTAGTTCGTACATAATTTCCCCAAACTTTTTTTTTGTGCGAGAGTTTTATCGTTTTCTGTGAAATGTAAGATTTTTGTTTTTGTAATGTTGTGGAAGGTTTATGTTTTGCAATTTGTGATTTGTTCTGTGGTTTAGGGTTGTTTAGATGTTGGATAGGTGGGTAATTATAATTGGATAATTAATTAGTTGTAATAAAATGTTTTGTAAAAGATAAGAGTTTGGATTTTTTTTAGTGTCGAATAGTATTTGAGTCGAACAAGCCTTTCGCGTCATCCTCGTTCAATATATAATGGAGAGAATCGTTAAATATAAGGTCATACAAATCTTATAAATCTAATTGCAACAAGCCGAATGATCCATTCAAGAACACGTGTGATTGGAGTGATACAGAAGACTCTCCTATGGAAAATCTCAATCACACTTTCGTTCGGAAGGATCTAGTGTAGCATTAATGTATGAACAAGTAACACGTCTCCTAACATTGGTGGTAAGGTTAATTTGAATTGCTTTTATACAACTGTTTGTTTGTTTATACACAAAACTGTATAAATGGTCATGTGGTATGTTGAAAATTGTTACTTTTGACCAAAAATATTTGAACTAGCACAAGTGATTCAAATTTTTATTTTGTTGTGGTTTTGATCAATTTTCATTTGAAAATATTCAAAATGACAAGATTTCCAATTTATAGTTTCATTTTTCATGTTCCTTTTATTAGAATGATTTAAAAAAAAAAAAAAACAAAACATAAATATTTCTCCCAACCACCCTCAAAGTTAAACATATTCTTTCTTTTACCCTTTCTTCTCTTTGTTCATTGTTATGCCGGACAACCACCGGCTTTCAAAGTCGGATGACCATTGTGAATCTATTCAGATTAATATTGTGAATTCTGAAAACTAAATTATATACAGTTTAGATTTACAATGTGAATAGATCAATTTGTTGATTTTACAAGACTAATTTAGGAGTAATCAAAACATTAAAATATTATAAAACTATATGGAAATATATTTTGATTAGTATGTAATTTTCACTTAATTTGTGAATGATCAGAGAATTAAAATAGTAAATCAAATTCACATTATGAATCTTAAAATTGATATATTTACAGTTTAGATTCACAGTGTGAATGTAAACTGATCGAGCTTTTTATAATTGATGTTAATGTTTATTAATAGAAGACAAAAACTTGAGACCTTTGGTATAATTAGATTTTTTTGAAAAAAATAACTAAATATTGAAAAAAAAAAAAAAAAAAAAAAAGCAAAATGGGTTTTTCTCCAAAAAAAAAGCTTGTTTTTTATATATTAGCATTAATCTCTATAAAAAGTGGATGAAAAATCGTAAACAACAGTATATTCAATTTTTTTTATTCCGATAAAAAAGATGGCTTAGAAAAATTTTAAATGAAAAAAGACGTGAGTTTTTTGGTAAAGATGTGACTTTTATGGTATAATCTAATATATGTGCGTCCAATGTACAAGTTAGGGACGGTTTTACTTGGGTGTCCCGGTGTAGTACCAGCAACACCTACTTTTCGTGTACGTAGCAGATTTTTTTTACCTATTTTTCATGCACCAGCAGCACCTTCAACCTCGGCAATACCTACTATGTGTTCCTCCTAGGGGTGTAAACGAGCCGAGCCGAGCCCGAGCCTAACCAAGCTCGAGCTCGGCTCGTTTAATTTTGAAGAAGCTCGAGCTCGAGCTCGGCTCGTGAACAATTTAGTGAGCTCGCGAGCCTAAACGAGCTTAAACGAGCCTATATATATATATATATATATATATATATATATATATATATATATATATATATATATATATATATATATACACTCTCACACACACACACACACACACACACATATATATATATATATATATATATATATATATATATATATATATATATATATATATATATATATAGGCTCGTTTAGGCTCATTTAGGCTCGCGAGCCCACTAACTGAAGCTCGGCTCGAGCTCGTTTAATAAACGAGCCTCATATTTGGGCTCGAGCTCGGCTCGGGCTCGTTTAATTCGATCTCGAGTCGAGCTTTTAACGAGTCGATCCCGAGTAGCTCGCGAGGAGCTCGGCTCACTTACACCCCTAGTTCCTCCTACATCAGCCTCTGATACAAGTGTACATCCGATCCCTTAGCTGTTAATCATTATGATTTCATGCGCTCATGATTATCATCCTATAATTGATTAAAAAATATCTGCAGATCATTTTGTAATTTTAAAGAATAATAAGTTTTGTGAAAAAAAAAACAATTTTTTGTATTTTATAACCCAATAAATAGACATATATTTAGGTGAAGTAAAAGATTTATTAACAATTTTATTGATAAATAGGTTGATTTAATAATTTTACATACTATATAACGGATAATGCTGGATGGGCTATGGTCGTGTACTCGTGTTAAAAGGCCCATCAACGGTGAGATTTGAGCAACGAAGACATGTCGACGTAAGATAGTTAGTAAATGTAACTAATTGTAGACTGAGAAAGTGATTTCAATATTTGAAATGAACCACCAAGACATGAGGCGAGACATGTACATCTATTCTAATTAAAGATACAGAAACAAATTCTCTACAAAGAAATGTATACCTCCGACCTCCTTAATTAATAATTACCCCCCTACAATTCGGGTGGCATCTGGAGGAAAACATCCCGACTCTCTTGAAGAGCCAAGGCCCGCTGGAGACTCACAAGTACATCCCCCATTGAGGGCCTATCTTCTCCCTTGTCAGCAAGACACGAGGTTGCAGTTTTGACATATATCTCCAAGCATTGGGGCAAAATTTCACCCATGAGATACGGGTCGATATTCTGATCAAGAATGTCATCTCTGTAACAGTGTAGGGCCCATTCAGACAACATCTGTTGCTCTGTGGGACGTGTCGAGTCCAGGGCAGGGAGGCCAAATAATATTTCAAAAAGCACAACGCCGAAAGAATACACGTCCGACTTCTCAGTCAACCTATGTCGCCGGTAATATTCCGGGTCTATATACCCGAAACTACCCTTCACAGCACTGCTTAGAGCGTTATCCACAACAGGGCGCTCTCTTGATAGTCCGAAATCAGACACTTTGGCATTGAGATTTTTGTTTAAGAGAATGTTGGATGTTTTCACATCGCGGTGGATGATGGGACTCTGGAAACCCGTGTGAAGATAGTGTAAACCGCTTGCCGATTGTATAGCGATCTTGAGCCGCTGGGCCCATGTTAATGGTTCGTTGGTTGGTTGGGTGTTTTCTCTGTCATAAAGATGCTGACGGAGGGTTCCGTTATCCATGTACTCATATACGAGGATCATCTCTGAGTTTTCGTTACAACAACCGAGTAAAGAAATGAGATGAAAATGGCGGAGCCTCAGAAGGACTGTAATCTCAGCTCTGAATTCCTTCTCGCCTTGGTGGTAACGTGTACTCCCGCGTTTGATAGCTACGGTGGTCCCATCCTTGAGTGTTCCAATGTAGACCTTCCCGAACCCACCCTCGCCGATAACTCGAACCTTGTCGAAGTTATTAGTTGCAATCTCGATCTCGCTGAAGGAAAACAGAGTGTAGGCGGGCCCACCTTCGTATTCGAATTCCAAGTTACTCAGCTGGACACTCTTGTGGAGTTTTCTTCTTCGGGAACATAGGTACCAAACAAGAAGATTGAAAATTGCAAGGAGAAGGACAGAAGCAGTGACGACACCACCGATCACCCAGGGTTTGTTGTTGTTACTCGGGTGCGTGATAGCTTGTTGTGGAGCATCAGTTGCAGCTAAAACCATGTCCATCAGAAAACCAAGTACCAGAAGACGAGAAAAGTAGGCTTGTAAGTGATACGTATTGTGAATCGCCCCACAGATACCGTCTAGTATTCTTAGAACATAGTAAGCTATCATATGAACATAGCAAATCAGTTCTTTGCCTTCCTCTTTCTCTTCAAATATCAATTTACAATCCATCGTGGGAAGTCACTGGATTCCCCACCTAACTTTGACCCTACGTATCAAAGCATATCACAACACAATCTCAATACTCATCATCATAAATCATAACGAACTCATAAACCCACAACACCAAAAACAAATTTCGATCACGATTAAAAAGAATAACAACCTACAAGATTACCTTCTCAAACTCTATATATAAAAATACCAATATCAACACATACACGGATAGGTAATTTAATTCTTGACATAGGTATTTAGCAATCCATTCTATATAAAATGATCTCACATGGAAAGAAAATAATTCTCCAATAGGAAAAAAGGGTAATTCTATCCTCAGTCCTCACCCCCTTCTATCAAACATAAAAACATGTTCGGTCTAAATAATAAGACAATAAATAGATAAACTTTGTCTTACTCACAAAAATCAATATTCAAATTGTCATTTTGTTAATCGACTACTACTTTATACTAACAAAATCAGCAAGAAACCAGCAGATCAAATCCAATCATTCTCTAAAATTATCTATCTACTTATTGTGGGTTAGAAGAATTAGAGTTCCAATTGTGTTTCTTTGATTTCCACAGGTAAAACAAACGCCAAAGCAAGCAGATCTAAGAATTTCTGAACAAAATAAAGAGGTGAACTTTGCTGAAAATCTAATTGATCCAAGAACAAAAGAATTATTACCTTCAAAAGAGCAGTTTGGGTGAAATCGCCCACCGTGTTAAAACGCTTGAAAAACTACGCACCAATGATCTCCCCTTCCACAGCCACTGAGAACGATAACAGAAACAGGAACCCTAACTAAACAAACATAAAATAAAATAAAAGGTTTATATCAAGGTTTCAACATCGGGATTCTATCTAGGATCGATTTTGGGTTTGCAAAATCGGGATCGTAAGATGGGATCGAGATCTAAGATCCCACAAAATAGAATATAATTTTAATTTATAATATTTAATCATGAAAACTATTTCAAACATTTAGTTTTTCATTCAAAAGTTATAAAAACTTCAAAATATTAGTCATAAGTTACAATAAAAATGATAAATGGTAGATTGATAAAGGATAAAAGGCATAAAGTGGTAAAAAAATTTCATTTGCAAAAAAAAAAAAAAAAAAAAATCAAAGGAAGGTAGGATCGGATCGGATCTCGATCCTACGATCTTACGATATTACCTACGATCATACCCCAAATACGATCCTTTTACGATTCGGATCGTTTTTCATACCTATGATCGTAGGATCGTATGATCCTACGATCAGGATCGCGATTTTGACAACTATGGTTTATATGGACCAATTTGGTGCAAGCCTTTGTGAATTAGCGACAGCAGTACAGCACCGAGAAAAAGTTAGACATTGGAATTGACTATTTCTTTTCCTTCCTCTTAACTATAGTGGATCACGGGTCGACTATATATAAATTATCGTTATTCATTCAAATCATAACATTACATAACATTGTTTATCCAATTTTGAAAGGGCTGATTCTTCCACAGCATTTCTTACGCATTTTATAGTTAATGGACATAAATACCCCCTTCTTAATAGATTTTTTTGACGTAATATTAAAATAATTTTTTGTTAATATAATTCAATACATATCGAAACGAACAACAAGCTGTGCCGCTAGTTTTTTCTGAATGGTAAAACCAATTCTTTTGAAAACAACATTTGTGGATCTAGGAGATAAGACATTATAATTCTAATGAATGACTCGTTGGACTCTATTGAGGAGCTCTACCGCCTATGATGCGAGAAAATCAAATGTATCGAATGCAAAAGGTACAAACACATGTTGATTTTCTATACATGTATTCTCGTGTTTTACCACTTTGCACGCAGCGACTTTCAAGGCGGTATGCCCAGCTGTGAAACCCTCGTTCCCTAAACCAACGTGAGGAGAGACCTCAGTAAGATCCACACACGCATGTTTCCCTCATATCCATCCAATGATCAAAATGTCAGACGGTCTAAGTGTGGACCTTCCATCATGCAGGTCCGTCAAAAAGTTCATTGGTGCTTCTTTCTTCATAGAAATACCGACAAGCATGAAAGAGAACATCCTGAACCACATCATATTTGTACTTGAAACCAAGGAACTCTCTACAATGAACTGCATATTCCCCAAAGGTATCCAAACATGCCTTGCGATAAACTGGGCATATCTCGTCAATTGGGAATATGAGAATCATGAGGCAGTAATGAAGGATAGTTCGTACTCCACAGGAGATATATGCTGGCCAATACCATCAATAAGGATACTTAGCAAAAAATATTGAGCACGAGGTGTCCGCAGACACTCAAAGATTGTTTTCTGTCTGACAGTCATGTCGAAGTCGACTTCCATATCTTGGACGATTTTGCTAAAAAGGGCACACGCCAAAGCTTTTTGGGATTTAGGGGGGGTGTCCTTATTAGTGAAACCGCTACAGTGAAATCCCGGAATCGTATCGCGAAGACGAGTCATAGCACATAGGTAATCCGAGTCCATACCACATACGTCACTATCACGAAAGATGTGGTCTTGTAATGCCTAAGATTGGGCCCTCAAGGCTACAAATGCGTAGGAGGAAACCTCGTATGCTGAGTACAAACCCAAACCACCGAAACAAATAGGTAAGGAAGCCAGGCGCCACAGAATGTCTCCAAAGAAGGGGCCTCCACATACCACCATATCCTCAATAGACCTGCACAATCCTTTGTCAAAGAACAAAGTTGCCTCTTTTATGTGTACCGATTGACATGTCCTTAAACCAAAGAAAAATTTTGCAATGCCCATAAATGATCGAAGGAAAAGGAGTTCACTCTACGGGTCATATAGTTGTGGAAGAAGGCCCATCAAATTAACATCATTGACCGCTCTCTTCATGGCCAGCCCACAAATAAACCATGCGTCTCTGCTAACAGCCCTCCCCCCCCCCCCTAGGAGCTTCACCCCCAAAGAAGGTCTCCCTATATCCGTTGGGAATAATAATGTATTTTTAATTATTCACTTAAGAAATTGATTTGTTTCCTTTTTCCTCATTCAGCATTGCGCTTCCTCTTTAGGCATTGCAATTTTCAGCGATGTTTTCCAAATGATCCCAATGTAACCTTCACACGTATAATTGGAACCCTTGAATAGATTCTGCAATAAGAATGTTCCTATATAATTTTATAAAATAAAAGAAATGAAGAATGCACATGTTTATAATAAGATGCACCAATTAACAACTGGGTTGGGAAACTGGGGAAGGTGCACCAGATTGAGCAGTGAAAGATGTGGAAAATTGTACTATTTTGAAGATTTGGAGCCGCTCAAAGATGACTGCATAAATAACAACTAAGAAAGTAAATATAACATCTACTGTATTATCTTTAATACTAGCTTATTATTTGAAAATAAGAGCAAGATTAAGCACCAAGTCAAAACATAAGTTAACAATGACTTAATTAAAGGAAAACATTTGCTTAACCAATCGTATAAGTTTTTTGTTACATAATGTAGTCTGTCCAAAGTACTTATCACTGTCTTGAAAATACCCCTGTCATACTAGACTGTATGTCATCTATCATCTATCATTTCTATCAATCCATACTTTTCGGTTTCGATTAAATTGGTTTCGAGTCGGCCTGGTTTCAGAACCAACCAAATTGCTACTTGAGAATCACTGAATCGGAACCCATATAATTTGTTTTAGAATGAGTTGTTTATATATTTCCTTTAATAAATTATTATATATGTTTCTAATTCCATCGTAACTTTCTAAATATTGAACTATAATACGTGAATGATTCTTGTTATAAAAGATAGAATCTCTACTTAGTTCTCACTCAAGTCTAGGGTGGGAATCGATTCGGGTTTTTTGTTTTTGGTTTTTTAGTTTCCTCAAATCGGTTTCTTGGTTTGAAAATTTTTGTGGTCCAATTCGAAAACCAAACCAAATCGAATTCAAATTCTCTAGAACAAACCGAAAACCGAATTCTAATTCGTTTGAAAACCGAGGAAATCAAATATAAACTTAAAAAAATCAAACATAAATTAAAATATTTTTAACATATAAACCTAAAATTGCAAAGAAAAATATTTAAAGTTTTATACAAAATTATCCAAAGAGTAAGTGAGTTAAAATGATTTTTACTTTATAACTAATATTTTTATTTAATATAAAATATAACATATATTTTTTAATTAATTTATTTATTAAATTCGGTTTTTTTCGGTTCGGTTTGGTTTAAACTTCATGAGACTGAAACTCAAACCAAAAACCAAATTCACAATTCAGTTTGGTCTCAAACTAAACCGAAAACCGAATTTGAATATGGTTCAGTCTGAAATCCGTTTCGGTTCGATTTGGTTTCAAGTTTTTCGGTTCCGAACCAAATAATTCTCACCCCTACTCAACTCAACAGGACTTTCAAATGTGAATCGGGTTCTTCCATTTACCAATTAATAAATTCCCATAAAATGCTATATATATATATATATATATATATATATATATATATATATATATATATATATATATATATATATATATATATATATATATATATATAGTTAGGTTCATATGTGGATGAACATTTATTGTGTGACTGTAGGGACCAATGAGATTTCAGAAATATTGACTTTTGGTCAACATCAGAGTACGTTGGGCGTACTCTCCTGGTACACAGGGCGTACTCCGCTGGGAAGAAATATTGACTTTTGGACCTTGATCGTTGACTTTGACCAGGGTTGACCAAGTTTGGTTGATGGGTATTTTGGGTATTTTGAGCGATAGTTATGTCTTGGTCTCTATCTGTTGAATAGGTGACTTGTAGAGCTGGTATTCGGAGCAGTGTATTGTTCAGCTATTTGTTAGACTGCGATGTGAGTTTTCCTCACTGTACCCATGGGTTGAAGGCACCACGGTTGGCACCACGGTTGGCTCACTAGATTATTTACTAGTTTGTGGCTGATTATTAGATTTGCATGATTATCTATATTTGTTGGTTCTGTGTTTATGTTTATCTGTTGCATAT